ACTCTGCCCCCCACACACACACTCACCACCACTCTGCCCCCACACACACACACACACACACACTCACACCACTCACTCACCACTCACTCACCACTCACCCACCACCACTTGCCCCCCACACACCTCACTCACCACTCACTTGCCCCCCCACACACACACACACACACACACACACACACACACACACACACACACACACACACACACACACTCACACACTCACTCACTCACTTGCCCCCCAAACACACACACACACACTCACTCCAGCGAGATATAAGAAACGCATCTAAATAACTCGCTTAAACTACGACACAAAAATAGATTCTTAAATAGTCTTACGTTAGGTTTGGTTAGGTTGGGTTAGGTTAGGTTATTCCTCTTAACTCTCACCACATTCTTTCCTCACCACAACAACCACCTCTCCCCCCTCCCTCTACCTCACCCCCCCATGGTACCACACCCACTCTCACCTCATTCTTCCACAAACGCCCTTCACCCTTAGTTCATCACCCTCATTCTCTCTTCCTCTCTCTCACTTCCTCTCCCTCACTACTACCTCCATCACCCCCTCCCCCCCATTCCCTCCTCTCTCTTCACCATCACCCAACCATCACCACTATCATCTACCAACGTTCCCACCACCATTACCTACCAACATTACCATCCTCACCAATGTCACCAACCACCATTTCCACTACTAGGGCAACCACAACCACCACTACCACCATTGTCACTACCAGGGCCACCACCATCATCAAGTCTTGTGTAATATGGTCTAACAGCTGGTAGTATTAACAGTGTTGTTGTTAAGTGACCTCCACATTACCTGCCTGACGCCGTGTGTGGTGTGGTGAGCTGACGACACAACACACACACACACACACACACACACACACACACCTCTTACAAATATGTTGAACTTGCCCGCTGCCTCCAATACCACCACCGTCACCACCATCACCACCATCACCACCACCACTATCACCACCACCACTATCACCACCACCATCACCACCACTATCACCACCACCACTATCACCACTATCACCACCATCACCACCACCACCACTATCACCGTCCCGGAAACAGTGCTGTGACGTAACCTTACAACACGGCTCTCTGGGAGTTGGTAATGGGGACAATAATTACAGTAGCACACATTACAGGTATAGTATAGTGTCAACATAACCATCAGGTATATGAAACTGGTAGTGCCTCACGCCTCTGACCTAACCTAACTAACCTAACCTATTTAACTACACCACTAACTACGGGGGAGGGAGAGGTGAGAGTGAGGGAGTGAGGGAGACAGGAGGACTGGGTAGGTAGGTGGTGGAGTGGGTGGAAGGTGAGGGAAGGAGAGGTGAGGAGGTGAGGAGCTGTAAGCCATGACAGGCGTGACCTCTGGGAACCCAGGTCAACAGACTCTCAAAGGCCGTGGGGAGGAGAGGAGGAAAGAAGGAGGGAGAAGAAGAGGAAGGAGGAGGAAGAAAGGGGTGAAGGGGGTTGGTTGTGGTGAGGAAGAGAAGGGAGGGTGGTGGTGATGGTGGTGGTGATGGTAGTAGTAGCTGGCAAGGACACCCAAAACCACCATCGCAACCTACTACCACTACTACCACTACTACCACTACTACCAGCACTCCAATGATCATCACCATCACTCTATTTCCACCACCACCATCACCCACCACCACCAACCACATTCCACTATCACCCACCACCACCAACCACCACTACAACTATTAGTGTAATTAATTCATTACATAATTATAACAACTTCCGGCCACCCTCAGCCTCAACAACTTGACCTGACCTTGACCTGACCTGACCTGCTTTCGAAAATAAAACGAAGAGTTGGTTCTCCTCCCATAGGTTGAGAGAGAGAGAGAGAGAGAGAGAGAGAGAGAAGTGGGTGAAGACAGACACAGAATCTCTCACGTCTTCACTTTCCATGTACGTGTAGCGAACAAGACAGTCATCCTTCCCTCCTTCATTTCTCTCCCTTCCTCCCTCCCTCACTAACCCCCCCTCCCCCTCCCACTCTCTCTGTCTCTCCCTCCTCCCTTCCTTCCTTCCTCCGTCATATACAGTACCAACCAACGGGCTGGAGACGGAAGGAGAAGCAGGGAGGAAAGAAAGAGAAGAAGACCAGGGAGGATGGAAAGAAGACCAGGGAGGGAAGGGAAGAAAGAAGGAGCCGAGGGAGGAAGGAAGAAGAAAGGGCCAGGGAGGGGAAGGAAGAGAGAAAGGAGCCGAGGGAGGGGAAGGAGGAGAAGGGCCAGGGAGGGGAAGGAGGAGAAGGGCCAGGGAGGGGAAGGAGGAGAAGGGCCAGGGAGGGGAAGGAAGAGGAGGGATAGAGAGGAGAAGGAAGAGGAGAGGCAGAAGTACGTGAGGAAGAGAACATAAGAATGGAGGAAACTAGACAGTCCCGTTTACACCCAACCCCTATCGCTCATATATCCATCCAACCTGAAGCTGTCCAGCGTGTTCGAGTTAATGATGATGTTTGGTAACTTGTTCCACTCATCCACTGCTCTATTTCCAAACCAGTGTTTACCTATTTCGCGCCTAAATCTAAATCTGTTTGAGTACCATTGTTACGAGTCCGCTCCTGGTTGGATAGTTTGAGTACGTTTGTTATGTCACCTTTGTTTAGCCCTGACTTTAAAGGGGGAAGTAAGGGAGAAAACAAGATGAAGGGGAGGGAGACTAAAGAAGGGAGAGAAAGGGAGGAAGGGAGGGAGAGCGAGAGAGACAGAAAGAGGTAGAAGAGAGGGAGGAACAGGGAGAATGACAGAAGGAGGGAGAAAGAGGGAGGTAGAGAAGAGGGAGGAAGGGACAGGGAGAGGGAGGGTAGAGGCTCATTAGCGTGTCTCCCTCCTTCTTTCTCCATCATAATAGAACAGTGTAAGTCATCTACTGTGTGTGTGTGTGTGTGTGTGTGTGTGTGTGTGTGATCTTGCCTCCCTACCAGCAGAAAGGGCTGAGTGTGTGGGGGGGGGATGTGTCTGGGGCAACAGGTCCACCCCCCACACACACACAGGACTTGAGCTATAAACCTAAATCGGTCCTATAGATATATAGATAGATCACCCCCTCCCTTACCTCCCCCTCCCTCACCTCCTCCTCCCTCCCCCTCCCTCACCTCATACACCACACCATCTACTCCTCCACCAATCATCATCACCCCTCCCCCTCCTCCCACACAACCACCACCTTCTCCCCACGTGGACAGCAGGAGTGAGAGGGGAAGGAGTGAGAGGGGGAGGAGTGAGAGGGGGAGGAGTGGGGGGGGGGAAGAGGGAAGATATTTAGGACACAAAGAGGGTGCACCTGACGTCTGCCTTCTCCACCTGGTCCACTCTCCCACGATCACTAATTGAGGGTTGAAGGTCGCGCGCCCCTGTGTGTGTGTGTGTGTGTGTGTGTGTGTGTGTGTGTGTGTGTGTGTGTGTGTGTGTGTGTGTGTGTGTGTGTGTGTCAGGTGGTCACCCAGACACACACACCCCCTCAGGCTACACCTCCCCCCTTCACCTTGCGGGGGTGTGGGAGGAAGAGGGTGAAGGAGGGTGGATAGGAGAGGGGGGTGTATACAGTATGTAGAAGGGGCAGGGGTGGGACAGGGAGGGTGAGAGGAAGAAGAATGGCATGGGGGAAGGATCGTCAGTGTGCCTGGAGAGGGTGGGGGGAGGAGGGGGTGGGGGGGAGGGTGAGGGGAGGAGAGAAGAGGAGGAGGAAGAGGAAAAAAACTAAGTCTGGCAAGATGTACCGTGAGACCGAGGGAGGGAAGGGGTGGGGGGAGGGGGAGGGGGCCAAAGTGTATAAGCGATGGTTGAGGACGAAGGAGGGAAAAAGATCAGACAAGGGTGAGCTCAGGACGACAGACAAAGACACAACCCCTCCCCTCCCTAACCCCCTTCCCCCGTTCCTCATCTTCCTCCTTGTGTGTGGGAGGGTGGTAGGGGGCGTCCGGTCCATCTTGCCTTATATATATACATACATACATACATACATACATACATACGTACGTACATACATACATACATGCATACATACGTACATACATACATACATACATACGTACATACATACATACATAGTAAGTCAAACTCCATAAACCACCTGTGGAGTTTGTTACGTAATCCTCCTCCTCCTCCTCCTCCTCCTCTTCCTCCTCCTCCTCTTCTTCCTCCTCCTCTTCCTCCTCCTCTTCTTCCTCCTCTTCTTCCTCCTCCTCTTCCTCTTCCTCCTCCTCTTCTTCCTCCTCCTCCTCCTCATCCTCTTCCTCCTCCTCTTCTTCCTCCTCCTCCTCCTCCTCCTCCTCCTCTTCCTCCTCCCCCATTCACACATCTATCTACAAGTCCTGTACAGTATACATTAAAACGTTAGGTTAGGTTAGGTTAGGGTAGGTTTGGCTAGGTTAGGTGAATGTTGGGTTGGGTTAGGTTAGGTGAATGATAGGTTAGGTTAGGTGAATGTTAGGTTAGACTCATCAAAGTAACGCACACTATCACCTCAAGTACTGTAGTGTCACCTTGAAACAACAGCAACATAGATCAAGGTTATGTTCACTGTTCTCTTAACCCTTGAGTGTCCTGTTACCTTGTCTTGGCATCATCATTATCATTATTATTATTATTATTATCATTATTATCATTATTATTATTATTATTACAAACTTATACAGTGTCTTCAACAACTTTAGGACACATGACTTGTAGAAATCAAAGTAAAAATAAATACATAAATAAAAGTAAATAAATAAATACACAAATAAGTAAATACAAATAAATACATAAATAAATAAATAAATAAATAAATAAATAATTCCAAGTCTTAGCGTCCACACAGCACAGGATGGATGACTTCTGATAATTACTATTGACTTTTACCGCAAGCAACCACCAATGGCGCGGGCGAGCGTGCGGAGGACTCTATATAAGGGGTCTTCCTTACTCGTCACTTCAAATATGTACAGTAAACTAAACTCGTTTACTCACCCAACACTCGTCCAAAGAACACTCCCTCACCATCCAGTCCCTTACCTGCAAAAAACAAGATAAAAATATTAATATAAAAAACACACACGCAAAAAACACGAATAAAGCAGAATAAAACAGAAAGGGACCTAGCAATAGACAATGTGAACACCGTGACGTCACAGATACAGACAGCACGCGCACCCACACACACACACTGGCGCCCGTCGCTTTGTAACGGGCAAATTATGGCGCAAAAATCCTGGCGGGGTTCCTAGACAGACATACAGACACATTCTTGTTCATTTCACCCCTTTAGGAACAAACTCTTTTTTCACTTTACCACTATCAACACACGCTGATAAATTAACCTGTTTTTTTCTAACCTAACCTAACTAACCCACAACCAAGAGACAACCACACACACAAAAAATGACATAAAATAAGGGTAGCCATTGAGTCAACAACCTTGTCTGAACCCTACAAGACTAGCCTTGGAGACAGTGGGGTGAGGTGAGGGTGGGGTAGGGGTGAGGGGGTTGGGTTAGGGGGGTAGGCTGGAGGGGGGTGGGAGAGGGGTAGGGGTGAGAGGTAGGGTGAGGGGTGAGGGGTGGGGGGAGGGGTAGGGGTGGGGGGGTGGGGGGGAGGGGTAGGGTGAGGGGGTAGGGCTAGGGGTAGGGTCAAGGGGGGTGAGAGGGGGTAGGGGTGGAGAGGTAGGGGTGAGGGGTGAGGGGGGGGGGGGGAGGGGTAGGGGTGAGGGGTAGGGGTTAGGGTAGGGTCAAGGGGGGTGAGAGGGGTAGGGTGAGGGTGAGGAGGTGGGGGTGGATTGGGGACCCTCCTCCATATATATATGTACAGAAAAAAACACACCAATGATTCCTGTCGACGCTCACCTGAGACTCGGACAAAGAAAGATAGTGGTAATGGTGGTGGTGGTGGTAGGTAGGTAGGTAGGTAGAGATAATAGTGGTAGTTGTGGTTGTGATGATAACGATGATGATGATGATGATAATGATGATGATGATGATAGCAGCGGGGGAAGGTGTTCATGATTTGGGTAGGAACAGCTGTTATGCCCCTCGGGAGAAGCGAGTCCTTACCCCTACCCCCCTCCCCTTACCCTCCTCCTCCTCCGTCCAGGACACACTCTTCTCTACCTGCCCAACTTAACGGCACTACCCTCCTTCTCAACCACCTGTTCGTCTCAGCTGGTGCTCCCTTGGCCACCTGTACCTCCCACCACCTGTTGAATCCTCTCACCATCTGCCTCTACCGTAAATTCACTCCAAAGCGATTTCTGTCTCTCCTGGCGCACCTGAGGTGTGTGATGCAACATCAACAAGCGCCAAGAGAGAGAGAGAGAGAGAGAGAGAGAGAGAGAGAGAGAGAGAGAGAGAGAATTGCTGACCACAAGACGACCCCCTCTTCTCTCGCGCGCACACACACACACACACACACACACACACACACACACACACACACACACACACTACCTCAGCATCCTTGAATATCTCGTACACAGAACAGCATCTTGTCAGCGGATTTTTAAGGGGTTTATTAAAAGAAATTTTTTCCTCCATATGTAAAAAAATTTCCTCCAAGTGTAAATGATTCTGAGATACTGAAGGAGATATGTGTTATTAAAAGTTTATTTGTTCAGTTTTATTTCCCTTCAGTGTACAGTACATATATTATTCGATAGCTAAATAAACTAGTTACGTCACAATAAACTCGTTACGTCACTATAAATAAACTCGTTACGTCACAATACACTGGTTACGTCACAATAAACTCATTACGTCACAATAAACACGTTACGTCACAAGGTTATTTTTAACTCTTAATTATAGCATCAAAGGTCAAACTCATCCAGACTCCCAATGTTCCAAATTTACCCCCGAGGAAGACATTCAGAAATAACCCAATGTTGACGCCACCACCACGACCACCAGCTGACCACCCCGTGTGTTATTGTCATCAGCACCACACATGATCAGCTGACCAAGAGACCAGGTAATTGGTATAGTGACTTGTGAACGCCGCCAGGAATGCCATACCTGTTACACCTCACCTGCGTCGTGGGGGGTGGGGGGGGGTCACCGCTTAATACAAAGACAACCAGACATACATACATACATACATAGAGACAACCAGATATAGATACATACATATATACATACATACATGCATACAGAGAACCACCCAACCAGACAGACAACCAGACAACAAAAAGTACGACCCACAACTCTTAAGAACTTTGGCCATGTCATAAAAAATAAAATAAAATAATATTAAAATTCCTTTCCTTAATGGTCTTAAAGTTGACGAAAAAAAAAAAATAATATCCGCTTGTAAACAAAACACCTGTCTCATTAACACAGTGACGTAGTAGAGTATACACACCTGGGGCATAACATACATACATACATACATACAGTACTATACATAGCTGATTCATACCACTCGTTATATTATATAATTTTAATCTCTTAGAGTACGAGGGTAGTTATCGTACTCGGGTATGTTATCGTACTTAAGGGGTGAAGGTTATCGTACTCAAGGGGTGAAGGTTATCGTACTCAAGGGGTGAAGGTTATCGTACTCAAGGGGTGAAGGTTATCGTACTCAAGGGGTGAATGGTTATCGTACTCAAGGGGTGAATGGTTATCGTACTCAAGGGGTGAAGGTTATCGTACCTATGGGATGAAGGTTATTGAACTCAAGGGTGAAGGCTACACGTACCCAAGGTGAATGGTTATCGTACTGGGCGGAAGGCGTACTTATAAAGTTGGCCTGCAATTAAGGTGAAGGGTTATCGTACTAAGGGGAAGGTTATCTACCCATAAGAATGGTTATCGTACTCAAGGGGTGAATGGTTATCGTACTAAGGGTGAAGGTTATCGTACTCAAGGGGTGAAGGTTATCGTACTCAAGGGGTGAAGGTTATCATACTCAAGGGGTGAAGGCTATCGTACTCAAGGGGGTTAACCATTACACTCACAGATACCCTCAGTTTAACATTATACACCATAACCCAGGTACAATTCTTAACTGTAATTTCGTAACATACCTATACCCTTGCCCACCCCCCCCCCTACAGCTGGCATATATCTCTACTAAGTCAATAATATAATACATATACCCCCAATATACCTTTGTACCACTTTATATATATACACCCCTACCCATGTTGTTGTACCCTATGAGTTACTACCCACAACTTTCAAGCACAAATTAATAATATTTCCCCTCTTTCATCTTTTTCCCTCAGCCGCTCCCCGTCCCCGTCCCGTCTCTGTCTTACTCCTATCCTTCCCCCTCTCTCCGACCCTACATCCTCTACCCAACGTCCCTCTATCAAAGCAACGTACCCCCCAGTCTGCACGTTGACACATCCTCATATCAGAGAAAGAAAGACAGTGTGTGTGTATGTGTGTGTGAGAGAGAGAGACGTAGAACTCTTATTGTGAACGAGAGGATGTTGTTGTTTTTGCGTCACCCCAACATTGTCAACAAGACGAACACCAAACACCACCACCACGACCCACCTCTTCCTCCTTCAACACAGTCATCAGCTAGACCTCCTACATGTGCTTTTGTTCCAGGAGGTGTGAGCACCGAGGGAGGGAGAGAATGAGAGAGAGGGAGAGAAGGGAGACAGAGAGACAGGAAAGGGAAGGAGGGAGGAGAGGGTCTTAGTATCACTAGTTCTACATATTCCCCAATAACCTTCCTGTCGAAATAATTACAGTATTTCTATTTGGCTTGATGGAAAAACTTGTTCATAATTTTGTTCATGTTATATGGTGAACATACTCTACTCCTACTACAACTACAACAAGAGACATAACAACAACAACAACAATTACTACTACAAAAACAACTACAACAACAATAACAAACACAACAACAACAAGAGACTAAGACAAATGCCACACCGAAAGCTCAAACAACTTACTAACTTGTCTCTGAAGTTCCAATATACAAAAAAAAAAACATTTCGTAACACGGAGACCAGAGGTGTTGCAATGTACCCCTCCTGCATATAGGCTTTGCAAAGGTCGTCGTTTTTATGCAGCAACAAGGATGAATAGTGAATGGTCAACACGCTGTAGTACTGGTGCTATTTTATCCCTTTATGGTGAGAGAGAGAGAGAGAGAGAGAGAGAGAGAGAGAGAGAGAGAAACCTTTGAAAGATTAAATTCAGCCTCTTCCGGATATCGTCGTCACACAGACCCTCCCAATACCGGACATTACTGATACTAATACCCGGATTCTCTTTATCATGTCCACTAACTCTACTGTCGGACTCTCTCTCTCTCTCTCACCAAAAGGAACTCTTCAGTTCGACCTTAAACCTCTTGAGTTCTTGAGTACGAAGTCTCTTGAGGACGATGACTTAACCATTTGAATACGACGTGTTAACCCTTTCAATACAATGACACAATACTCGTTAATCTTTGACAGGTGCTCTGGAGGGTACCACCTGCCCACCCGCCCACTGTACCCACCTACCCTCCTTGCCCACCTACCCTCCTTACCCACCTACGCACATAGCCATCTGACCTCCCTGCCCAATCAACAAGTTTCCACAAGCGATATCCTCTACGCACACACACACACACACACCCTCAGTGACCTCCACCACCACGCACTAGCAGGATTTGGCAGTGGACAACTGCACCACCCTCGTCATCGCCACCGACTGCCACCGGCAGTCCCCCGCCCACCTCCCACAGTCCGCCACTACAACAAAATTCAGCCCATAAGAGCCCGCACCGATAGATATAAGAACAGCACCATCCCATCTATTGTTAAAATAATAAACAACTCCTGACTTATGTACTGTACAGCCCTGTAAATGTATTGAATGTATATTATTATGTCTAGATCACATGTAAGTTTGTATATTTTCAGCCACCGGCTGCAACTCTATTAATAAACCGTTTATTATTATCATTATTTTTTACACACACACACACACACACACACACGCAGGATGAGGAGGAAACTCATGACAATATGACTAATTCCTCATGACTCACTTCCTGACCCTTCCTCCTTT